ATCGAGCCCCGCATCGGGCTCCCTGCTCAGCAGGAAGCCTGCTTCTCCCTCCCCCACTCCCCCTGTCTGTGTTCCCTCTCTCGCTGTGTCTCTCTCTGTCAAATAAATAAATAAAATCTTGAAAAAAAATAAAACCACTAAATAACAAAATCTTAAATACAGATATGTATTTGGTTATGACAAAAATATTCTCGTAATTGACACATAATCACAATTTTATCATTTTAAATAGGAAAAACCAGAGGAAACTGGGGTTAGACCTCCCTATAAACCAGTTTCTAAATAGCTAGTGAAACTTCTGTTCTACTTCTTAAACTCATTTGGCCAAGCGCTATCGTAGTTGTTTCGAGAATCTGTAAACATTTCTCACTTATTTATATAGTTTCCTGAGGTCATCTAGAAACTATTGTTATTATAGCAGCTTCACAATTTAGTACCCCTGCAAATGTGCTTTCAAAATGTTCAGAATAAAAACAAAAAATTAAGTGTAGGCCCATGTGTAACTTAACATACTCCCTAATTACAAGTCTATCTTTAGGAAATTCTTAGGTATCAAAATCAAATTTATTCCATTACCAGCAGACCCTGAAAAATATTCATAAACTGTAGGCCAAAAAAAAAAAAAACACAATAGATTTCAGACTTTGCTCTTTTACCATGAAATGAAAATAAAGTATCTCTTTGTATGTTACTTCTGGAATAATGTCTAAAACATATATAGGCCTCTCCATTTTAAAACATGTTAAAAGAGTGTCAGCACAGTGCCTGACCCATAACAGGTGTTCAAAAAATATATACCTACTGAATAAATGTTAAGCATAAAAACTAGTGTAGTACTTCAGTACAGAGGTAATGTTCTAAAGCTACAATGTATCACTCAATGAAAAATCAGTCCTAACTGCCACTCAAAATGAAGCTCAAAAGGTCTCCTCTTTGGTAAATACAGCACTGGCACATTTCCTGGCATCCCATTAATGAAAAGAGGACTAGGCACTTCCCTTGATTCCTGCCCTCACCTATCTCACCATCTCTCACTTTAGCTGTGTAAGGGATAAAGCCAAGGGGCAACAGAAAAGAATGCTCTTGTTTCTTTCCTACCCTTTTTCCTTCCTTTCCCTTTCTTTCCTTCTTTCTCTCACTCTTTTTCTTGTTTTTCTTGTTCATCTGTCAATGAAACAAGAAGCAAGTGACCACCCAATGAAAAATATGTGCCTCATAATGGTATCTTTTTTTGGAGAAAAATGAGGTGACTTAATATTTACATTTGGGGAAAGGCTGGTAATTGTCATTACCAATATGGCTAACATGAATAGAGAGATTTAACTAATACTTCCCCCCAAAAAATTCACTGCTCTTGTACTGAAAACTTCAATGGTAATGGATTACAAATAAACATAAAACACCGTTTAAACCGTTTAAACTACTTTTTATAGGACACAACCTGAGTTTGCAGATGAATTTATAAAGGTATATTTCTCCATCATTTCACATTAAAATCAAGAAAACACTATTATTTCAAATTTCAATACCTTAAAAATAGAATTTTTGCATTGACATTTTTAAGCTCTGAGTTTTAAATATTATTACCATCTTTAACACTGATTATCACAATTCCTCTCATCCACAGATCAAAAGGCAGCACTGGTAAACTTGACAATGTCATACAACCTTAAATGTTAAGAAGGGTCAGAGGCTTGGTTAAATATTTCCACACGGTATCTACAGGCCTTATTCTTATCCTTCCTTCCCAAGAGGAAAATGAACTGGGATTAGGCACTTAGCCAGTAGCTGCCTGTAGTATGACGTGTTGGCACTAATAATTAGGATGCTTGAACCATGCACGTATGTGTTTTGATTCAGTAATGTCAGGCCCAAGTACCCATTATTTTTTTAAATTTTAAGCCTAAGTAATAGTAATATTTTCATGCCAAGTTTTGACAGCTTAATAATTTGTATTCTGGAGGGGGGGCTGTAAACTACCATATTTTTGCTATTATTTATTTAAAATCTGAAATGCCAACTTTACACCTCATTAAAATACAAGCTAAACCCACTTGAACTTATTAATGATGCTTGTTGATGACAAAGAAAAGTGATCTCAAACCCCAAAACCATGATTAATGTTTACTGACCTACAGAACTAGAAAATTATATTTCCCTGTCTAGTATAATAAGAATATGATTCTCTGTCGCTTACAAATATAATTTGGTAATTTATATTTAAAAGTATCCAATGGTCCCATATGGATTAACAACTTCTATTTACCAATTCTGCATTTTACAATTTTCAATAATTATATTTTGACTCCGGCTGATTACATGCAAATTATCCTCAACGCCATCATGAATAGGCTGCAAATAATGTTAATGATAGATTTCAATATGTTCTAGTTCTCAAAACCTCAAAGCAATAAGCTAATCAATAAATTATATGTAGAACCCTATTACTGAAGCTACAGTGGTATCTTCTTATATGGTTGAATCACAGAAAATATGATGAGGTCACTGTGTAAGTATATGTTATACCAATGTTTCTCACACAGTGGTATACGTACACCACTGGACAGCCCTGAGATGATTTTAAGTGGAGTGCTACATGGATGAACAATTTCTCTCTAATAGTTATATATTTACTTTAATGTTTATTAGAAATAATATAACTAGTACATAAAATGTGGAATATGCTCAAAACAAGGCTATGTTTAAAAATGTAAGGCTGAAAACTAAGGTTAAAAATAATTAAACAATGGCACAGGATTATGTATATATGAAATCAGAAAGGTGGTATGCGACTCACATTTGGTAAACACTGTTTTAACAATTTCATTAGCCAGTATCATTTCTGAATGCTCATGGTAATAAGCCACATTATAAGGGGGTTTTCCTCTACTGCTGCAAATTCTGTTTTTTTTACTAGGACAAATATTCCTTAAAAACTTATGTTTACATTTATTTTAAGAATATAAATTTGAAAGCATTGAGTAAATTTAATTTACTTTAAAAGGATTCACCAAAATGGTAAAAATCTTCAGGGGCATTTGAGGGACATGCTATTCCTACAGAAGAGAAAAGATTACAAAGGCACATTACATATTATGGTTATTGTTGCAGCATTTAAACAAAAGCGATCTAAATCATCATTATCACTAATTATTAACAGACAATTATAATATTCTTTCATAAAAAAGAAGGTACGCTTGTGCACTAAGTGCTCTTGATTCTGGAACCACCTGCACGTAAGTGTCACTAACATGGACCCACTGGCCTGTTGATTCACTGTCAGGTTCTTTCAAACCTAACAAGACAAAAAGAAGTATAATTTTACAATAAGTATGTTCTTATTCTACATTATAAATAACAACACATTCATCACAAACTATATTTATCTAATGCTAGATCTTATTGGTGTGTTTCTTGTGTTAAACATCTTCCAAAATCAACTAACTCTTTCAAAGCAATACTGGCATCACTTCACTCTAAGTATCTAGTGAAATATTAGATAGACTTGTAAATATTTATTTGTTCAAGGAAAAGAATCATTTTCACTGAAATAGAAAGAAAAAAAACAAAGTCAGCTTGTTGATCCATAGGCAGAGCCTGCAAATTTTCAACCCCAACTCTATTCTGAGGACCTGATAGGTCTTCAAAATCTTTTGGTGTTAAGTAAAATGCCACTCCACCTCAATACACAATGACTTAGCACCCTGAAAAACAGTGTGTCACTTCACATCATCTAGAAGGGTACAGTCTTATGATATTTAAGGTTCTTTAAGATTATCTAAGTACTCTTAAAAGTATTTTTCACTTAACTTTAACAAAGTGAATCCACTTGCAATATCCATGAAACAGCTTACCTCTTCCAGAAAAGGAAGAATACATTCATTTGTTTTTAGGAATAACAAAAACTCAGGATGCCATACCAGGTACATATGTCTTTCCAGTGATATGCTCCAATAATTTCCTGGAGGGTGTTCTCACTTTCACATAAGCCGTGTAGTGACCTCCCCTCATTGAGCCACTATGTTCCACTACGCCATAGAGACCATAGAGAACTTTATCTCCCACACTTACATTCTTTTAGACAAAGAAAAAACTGGAATTAGTAATTAGTGAAATATTATAATAGGGAAAATTAAGTCAAATACATGTCCTGCTTAAACTAAGAAAAAATGCACTGTTAAAACAACACTGAAATGTGTTTCCACATGTATTAGTCTGGCAAAATGCAAAAGCCTGACAACATCCTCTGTTGGCTGGGCTGTGGGGAAAAGAGTATTCACACACATTGCCTGTGGGAACACAAAGGGGTACAATCCTATGCAGAGGTATTTCATGTTATCTAGCTGAATTACACAGGTATTACTCTTGGGTTTATCAATCCTATTTGTAGGATTCTATCTTACAGGTACATTTGCAAAATGTAAAAAGACATTCTATTAGTTATTATTTTGGCTCTTAACTGCAGGAATATTTGTAATATCAAAAAACTGAAGACATGGGGATATAATGTACAGTACATGGGATATAGGTAATAACACTATAACAATTTTGTATGGTGACAGATGGTAGCTAGATATATCATGATCACTTTGTAAGGTATATAAATGTTGAATCACTATACTGTATACCTGAAAATAACATAATATTGTATGTCAACTATACTTTGACTAAAAAGAAAATGGAATAAACCCCAAAAAATCAGTCCCCATTAAATTGGGGACTGGTTGAATAAATTATGATGCATTGAGTGTTTTTTGCTTGAAAAATAGAGTGCAGACTATCTCAAAATACTGCTATGAAATAATCTCCAGGATATAATGTTAATAGTAAGGTAGAAAAAAGGATACATATTGTAAGATGTGATTATTTAAGAGTGAAGATGCATATATGCATATCTATCTGCTTATATTTTTAAAAATTACAGAAGAATAAACGATTTTTAAATGGCTTATATATAAAGGGAGGAAAGAAGTGGAATGGACATGGAGAAGAAAAGCTATACTTATTTGAATTTATCTTGTTTTATACATTTGATACATTTGATTTTGGAACTATATAAATATTTTATGTATTTAGTAAAATTTTAAACATTTAAATTTAAAAAGCAATCCCTAAAATGAAAATATAAAAATTAAACAGGTGAATAGTATATTCCAGTTGGCAGCATAATCATTCCACTAAGGTCATGTCAAAAGAACCCAGAAGCCTGCTTGAAGTGGCTTTCAGTAGCCAACTATGGACCCATTTATATTCCATTAATATATTAGCCCACGAATAAAAAGAAAAGTGTAGTAAGCTGAAACATATTTAATGTGTTTCAATCCATAAATTAATAATGGTAAATTAATTGATCATAGTTTAAGGATACCACTGAATTAATTCATTATTCTGAACTGGTTTGGAAGGGGAGTAGGTAAAGAATCAAACATTTATCTAGCCTTTTCTATAAAAACTATATTATAAGATAACTAAATAGATAAACGAATTTCTCTCTGTACAGAAGTGCTCCAGTTGGGGCGCCTGGGTGGCTCAATTGGTTAAGTGTCTGCCTTCGGCTTGGGTCATGATCCTGGGGACCTGGAATTGGGTCCCACATTGGGCTCCCTGCTCGGCCGGGAGCCTGCTTCTCCCTCTCTCTCTGCCTGCCACTGCCCCTGCTTGTGTGCTCTGTCTCTCTCAAATAAATAAATAAAATCTTAAAAAAAAAAAAAGGGAACTGCTCCAGCTAATCAATGAAGAAGGAATGACAGATTTAAAATATCACCATTCTGTAATTCTTAATGAACTTGTGGATCTAGCATTTGAGCATCACTGCTTGCTAATATCACAGAAAGAAAGATAAGTGGCATTATGTGCCACCTAATAAAAAAACAAAACAAAACACGCCCTGTAAGATAGCCTTAGCAGGGGGAACAAAAGAGCATCAAACCTGTATCTGTTCAAGCCTCTTAAGAGCCAATTATCTATTCAGAGGAAATAAAGAAGACAGGGGAAGAACCATCAAAATCTAAACGGAAACTACCAGAAAGATGACTCAGTTTCTTATAAAAATAAATTGCGAGGGAGAGAAAGGGAAAGGATGGGAGAGGGGAACTATACATTAAAAGAGACTAAAAGACATTATCCAATCATAATGTGTAGCCCTTACTTGGATACTAATTCATTTTTAAAATTTCATTTGTGAGACAACTGGAAATATATACGTTAGATGATATGAAGGAATTAGTGCCCATTTTTTTTTTTTTTAGTGTGAAAGTGGTATTGTGGTTTTATGTTCTTAAAAGGAAGGAGGAAGTGATTCTTATCTTTTATAGATACACAGAAAAATATTTATGAATGAAATAATGCTTGATATTTCCTTCAAAATAATGTGGGAAGTAGTAGGTAAGCATGTGGATATGGCAGGACTGGCCCTGTACCTAAGGTTTTAGAGCTAGGGGATGTGTGCTATATAGGTTCACTGTACTATTCCGTCTACTTCTGTGTATGTTGGAAATTCTCCATAAAAAGTACCTTTTAAAAATGTGTTTTTATAAATTTAATACAAAGCTTGTTAAATTTCATTTTGTTTACCACATTATCAAATTCTATGAATACAGAGTGTTAATAATTTTGATAGACAGTGCTGGTATTCTACAGCAAATAAATTGTACTCACCAAATAGTTGCTTTTAAGCTATTTTTGTTTGATTCATCAATGTATGGAAAATATTAAGTTCAATAAGTATTCCATTACATACCACAAAACCTAGACTGCTAACCAATAATCATGAACAGAACAATATGTTACCCCATAACATATGTGGTTCCCTGAAGGAAGACAAAGTCATTGAATTCACCTACACAGTTCTCACATATAAATACAAGCAATTATAAACCAGTCAGCTTCTATATCTAATTATTAAAGTATTATCAATTTTACAGTATCCTACTCAGCTAACAAGTACACTATTTTCAGTAGTGTGCATGATATAGCATGAAAAACAATGCACTAGTATATTGACTCACAAAAGAGAATGAACTCCACAACTGCTAAAACTATTGTCGATTAAGCACGTCATTCACAAGGAACAGGAGAGGGCACAAAATCTGCTTACTTCTCTCCGCAACTATCTGTTTCTAGTAGCACTGACAAGCAGCATTGATTTTCCTGACCACCATGCTAATGGTTCACACAGCTTTTCAACTGTCCCTTATTCTGTCTCCCAAAGGACAAAAGTCATATTCAGTGTGTTAAATGTTCCACGTTACGGATTTAACTTCACCAACTATAAAATTCCCTTTCAGAGAAGCTGAATGAATGAATGAATGACCTAATATTTTTAAGCATAGTATTTACAAGTCAATTAAACATCTTAATAACATACTATACCTTACAAGTAGCAGAACAGAATGGTGCTAAATCAAGTATAAGTGGAAAATCTACATGTCTGTTTACTTTTCGAAGACTCAAGCCAGCCTTAAAAAGACCAAAAAATAATTTTTAATGCAACAAACAATTCATCTACGTCATTGTTAATAAAACCAAAAGAGGAATCCTAGAAGTTAGTTTTTTTAATAGCTATAAAAACATGACTAACGAATAGTCCAAAACTGACATGTAAGTTTGAGACTACTGATTAGTCTGTAAATATTTCCTTTTAAGGGCATGCATTCTTTCTGTAAGTTCCTAAATTGAGATGTAGTACCAAATATAAAATAACTGTGGTACATCATGAAATCAGCTTCTCAGATCTGACATGACCCTATCTTGCTCAGAGTAACTGCACATATACACCCTTCACTAGGCATTCTCATGTAATGAGACACAAGACATCTGCTTCTGCTGTCCACAGCCATTTTACTTCCACTGAGTTTCTACATTCTTGGCTATCACAAATTAAGAATTTAGGGGCACCTGGGTGGCTCAGCCATTGGGCGTCTGCCTTCAGCTCAGGTCATGGTCCCAGGGTCCTGGGATCAAGCCCTGCATTGGGCTCCCTGCTTGGCGGGAAGCCTGCTTCTCCCTCTCCCAGCCCCCCTGCTTGTGTTCCCTCTCTCGCTGTCTCTCTCTGTCAGATAGATAAATAAAATCTTAAAAAAAAAAACACAGCCCCCCTGCTTGTGTTCCCTCTCTCGCTGTCTCTGTCAGATAGATAAATAAAATCTTAAAAAAAAAAAAAATCAAGAACTTAGTCTAATTTTTCTGTGGATATGGATGGGGATGTATAGAGAAAAATCTCTTCTTGCCTACCTACGGCCCACCTGAAATGTTGCAGATATATAATCAAAACTCCTAATCTTTTCCTTGAGATTTCTTTCATGGGTTTTATACTTAGAAAATCTTCCCCCAGGCAACACCCTCAGGTCCCCTCCCTCCCTCCTTGTACTATCACTTTGCTATCACTCAATAAACCTTGCTTTGCTGCCCACCAAAAAAAAAAAAAAAAAAAACTTCCTCCCAGAGGTCAGGTTAATATTCATTTAAGTTTTCTTCTAGTCTTTTGAAGATTTGTTTCATACAGTTAAAATATTTATCTGAAAATAGTATTGATACATGGTATAGAGGGAAGCTTTACATTTTTTATTTCAGCTCTTTTTCCTAAATCCTTTATCAAATAATCTACCCCGTGGGGTGTCTGGCTGGCTTAGCTGGAAGAGCAAGCGACTCTTGATCTTGGGTTGATCTTGGAGTTATGAGTTTGAGCCCACATTGGGTGTGGGGATTACTTAAAAATAAATAAACTTAAAAACAAAATAATCTACCACTTTCCCAACTGATTTGAGATTATTCCTTTATCATAAAAGAGCTTTAAATAATACTCATGTTTTATTTATTGACAATCTTGACCATACTGTTTTAATTATACAGTTTTATTTTTAAACTGGTGTCAAAAAAATCACCCATTCTAACTTTTTCCAAAATGTTTTAGTATTTCACTTATTTACTCTTTCAGAGGAACTTTAAAATCATTACATCAAATGCAAAAACAAAACAAAACAAAAAACAAAAAAACCCCACATAAAACAAAAAACCAGACAAGGCATTGGATTAAAACTAAGCATAGAGGAAAACCTGACACATTAAAAACATTTAGGTTCCCTCTCATTGTAGAGTCCCTACATTTGCATTTTGTAGCCCTTTTTGCATTTAGTCCAAGCCAACCATGCCCAGCCCACTTACCCCTATCATTGGGATCCTGAGAGCTCAGAAAGCTATGTGCACTTTGCTATTTCCCTGCTTCTAAGGATTCTTAATAAACTTTATTTTTCATTCTCTCTCTCCCATACATGTGCATGCACGCACACACACACACACACACAGACACACACACACCCCCCTTAGGTTCCTACCACCTAAACCACCAAATACAGTATCATGAATTAAACCATTTTATTTAGAAAAGTCTTGTAAGCTATTATGGATAAAAAAAGCAGTAAATCCTTTATGACAAATTTTTAAATTAAACAAGTTACTGTCTAATCCTCTGACAGCATTTTACAAGATGTAGGGTTCTGCAAAACATATGACAAAATTACTACAGTGCTATTAAAGGGACTTTTACCTGATGGAATCTTTTAAGATGGAGAATTAGGATAGCTGGAACAGCAGAAATGAGCAATTGCTTCCTGGCATTAGTATAAACTTCTGCTTTCTTTTCTGCATAAAATAATAATAATTTTTTTGTAAAATTCCATTTTATACATTATATACCACGTAACAGAGTTAACATTTATAAAGAAGCATCATACCATATTTTTTAAAATGTTAAAAAAGAAATTAGACTCTGGTGACAAGGGTGCCTCTATACTACTTTCCAAAACTCCACTGAAATGAAAGGGATTTTTTTAAAAAGCACACACTTACAAGAACAAAGAATAGGGGAGGTGAAACTTGCAACAAAATTTTGGGAGCTGGGAAGCAGATGGACTATAGCGACTTATGTCAATGCCCTCCAAAGACCACCAGAAACAGACCTGTAGTTGAAAAAAATGGGTCATTACTCATTGTAGTGAAAGGAGATCACCACAGGGCATTTCAGTAAGAGGTTGTTAGAAAGTAGTTGGGATGGGATTTGAATACGGCCAACAGCATATTTAACTTGGATTAATGTAAGGTGGTATTTCTTCCTTCTCCCATCTAGACATTTCTTTAATTACTAGTGTATTAAACATGTCTTTATTCTGATACTTTGATACCTAGGGCCTTGCTGACATTATAGGGAAGGCTTCAGCCACAACTAGCAAATTCCTAGATATAATAAACAATGTAAGTGTGCCTCTCATATGCAAACCAACCAATCCAAAGCCTATACTCAACCACCTCCTTTATTGGGCTCTGATACACTAGGCCACTATCCATCTGCCCTCATCACACTAGGGTCAGGTACTATACAACTAGAGACAGCCCCCATGCCCCAGAGCCCACTGAAATTATTCAAAACTAGTCAATCCTAAACCTTGTTGATTCTAATTCCTTCCCTGGAAACTACAATAAAGGCTCTTGTCCATGTCTTCTCCTCACTCCTTCTGCCTCCTGACCAACCCTGGTCCTTCCCCATGTGGCCCTGCATGGCATGGCTTAGTGTTCTCCCTCCTCTTCAGAACTGTATGTAACAAACTAGCGGCAACCATCTCCTGATCTATGGGCATCACCACAATTGAATAATTATAAAGCCTGCATTTTGAAACAACTAGTCGCTAAGAATCGGAGTATTCTCTCCATATCAAGGCTACAGATGTACCAGGGAAATTTCTTCTGGAAAGATTTCAGACAGCTAGTACCCCGAAACAAGATTCTGTGGATTTGCATTTTTCAAGGCAGAGATGGGTACTTCCTGTTCAATTTACTTCATCAAAAATCGATTTAGAAGTCCAGTCACCGTCTTCAGTGCTGAGGTACAACGATGAAAAAGATAATTCCTGCTTCCAAGCAGCTTACGTGTAGGCACAAGGTTCTCAGGTTCCTCTATTTAGGATCTATAACCCACTAGTCATTGACTATCAAATACCCTGTGAATACTAAGAAAAACAAAAACCTAAATGTTTACCTGGGGAACCGGTTTCCTTTTGGTACCTCTGCTTCTTTTCAGCACAATTCTCACACAGAAGCTTGTTATTCCCCATTAGTAATTCCACAGATGTAAACTGGTAGAGACAGGACTGAAGTGAGCATTCTTTAGAAGTAGTTACATAGCTCTGAGAAAGGGTCTGAAAAGCATTTGGGGGGCGAGGAGACAGCATATGTTTCTCCTCTGAAGAACATAAACTATTTGGAACACTTGGTGGCTTATTTTCTCTATCAAAATCTCTATCTCCAGTTACAGGGCGGCTCAGATGAAGTTCGGAAATAGCTTCAGCCACTCCCCTGTCACCAGTGCCAGGCTCCCTGGTGGGTGGTCCAGCTGCTGGCGGCTGGGGAGAGGGGGCATGCGGGCGCACACAGCATCCACGGCTAGACCTCAACAACATAGCCTGCTCAGAAGCACTTTCGGATTCTGAAGCCTCGCTGTCTGCATCAGCGCTACTTTCAGAACGGCTGGCCTCTTTCTCACTGCCATCGGTGGGGCTTTCAGTCAGAGCCGACTTGGTATTCGTGATGCTTGCAAATGCTGAGGAATCCCCGTTCATCTCAAGGTGCTCATTTTTCTGGCATATGACGACTGCTCTATCTTCTCCAGATGACAATTTTCTTACACATTTTCTGCCATGAACTAGGTGATTCTGTGTTTTCAGAGAAAAGAATCTTGTGACCTTACTGAAAATAAATGCAAGTCTTATTTACACGTTCCACAATTATTAAATAAATACTTTTCCTAGACCCTCTGAAATCCATTTCCTAAATCTACCTAAACTGCAATCAATAGAAGATAGAATAACAAATAGTTCTAATTTAAAATTAATCTTTATACAAGAAACTCACAATAGCGGTTACTTATCTGTGGAGAAAGAAGCAGGTCTTTGTAGAACAGAGCTGAGGGAGGCTTTTTAATTATAAACCTTTGTACATACTCTCTGGAGTCCTGCCACTTCAAGAGCATTGTAACAGAAAAAGCTAATTCTGATAATGTATCAATTTGCTAAGTTAGTACAAATCATATCACATAAAAAAAAGTTTTTTGAAAAAATGAAGTGCAAATTTAGATTGATTTCTTTAAATTTTTATGGGACAATTCAACAACCAGCTATGTCCCTAGTGAAATAATGGGTCTAGACAATGGTCATCAGTGACTGGTAACATCAAAGATTAGACATCAAATATTACATGCATCTCCTTGGTGGAAGTATACACCGCCAGTTAAAAGGTTTCTTGCCAAGGGGCTCCTGGGTGTCTCAGTTGGTTGAGCATCCAACTCTTTTTTTGTTTTAAGATTTTATTTATTTGACAGAGAGAGAGACAGCGAGAGAGGGTACACAAGCAGGGGGAGCAGGAGAGGGAGAAGCAGGCTTCCCACTGAGCAGGGAGCCCAATGCAGGGCTCAATTCCAGGACCCTGGGATCATGACCTGAGGCGAAGGCAGACGCTTAACGACTGAGCCACCCAGGCACCCGAGCATCCAAATCTTGATTTACGCTCAGATCATGATCTCAGGGTTGGGAGATCGAGCCCCATGTTGGGCTCCACACTGGGTGTGGAGCCTGCTTAAGATTCTCTCTCTCCCCCTCTCTTTCCCTCTGTCCCTCCCCAACCCTCAAAAAATAAATAAATAAAACTTTAAATAAATGTTTTCTTGCCAAAAGTCAAATAATAAAACTTGAGCCTAATTAGGCCTTTAGATTGAACTGCCTTAGAGAGGAAATAAAGGGAACAAAGAAATCTGTTAACACCATGGAAATGCAATAGCAAGATAAATTATTATTGAATGTGGGAATGTGAGAAATTCCTGGGAAAAAAAAATGACCCAATTTCTTCAACAAATACATTGCAAAGTAGGGGAGAAAGGGAGGGGGAAATCTGTAGATTAAACGAGACCTAAGAGATATGCAATTAAGAGATGGCAATCAACTGCAATCTATAGATCTTTTTTAGATCCTAAATTCAAGCACACCTTAGAAAGCAAAAACAAAAAAGGTATTTATGAGACAACTACAGAAATTTAAATAATGACTGGATGTTGGCACTATTAAAAAGTTATTAATATTTTTAGGTATGATGATGCACTGTGGTTATGTCTTTAAAAATAGTATTTATCTTTTATATCAGAATTATTTCAAAATAATATGAGATGGGGAGGGGGAGAATGTGGGATAGCTACAGATAAAATACGATTAGCCATGATCTGATACCTGTGAATCTGAGAAACAGGTACATGGGAGTTTATAACACTACCTCTCTACTTTTGTATATTTTTGAAACTTTTCTTATTAAAAAGTTTTTTTAAAACAGATGTCTCACAAATGCATATAATCTTACCTTATCTTTAGATGAAGACTGGTTCTTGGTGGCTCTGGGTTCAGAAGTATTTTCTATAGTAACAGTGTCACTGTACTGATCATTATCTGTCGCCTGCGAACTTCTATATTTACTCATTCTTCCCAAAAGTACCGGTTTTGAAACCTATATAGATGCCATGTACATAACACAAAACTTATTTAGGAAATAAATTCTGGATATCACCTACTTTTTTGAATTTCTAACTCATGTGAAATTAGATAATTTCCTTAACATTAATTCTCAAACTGTAAAACATAATGGTTTGAAATCCCTGAGAGTAAGAACTATATCATAATTTATGCATATATACACAAACCCCAGTATCAAATACACTCTATGAACTCCATTATCATAGATAAAAAAATGATTCTCAGATAATGTGATAACATGCTCAACAAATGTCTAAGTATATGAATGAATAAATGCTCTTCACAAAAGACTCATTATTAAGTTTTTTTCTCCTTACCCTTTCTTCTATTATAGGAAGTGAAATATCAATAAAGGGATCGTTCACAGAGGAGATCTTAAAAAGAAAACATATTGAGAAATTCAGTTAGAATTCTAATATAGACAATGTAGTTTTGTAAAGTCTTAAAGAAATCAAACTTCCCAGGCAACTTAGAATTTCAAGTTTAAAAACATCCCTGGAACAAACAGTGATTTTAATTGGGTAGAGCAGCACATATTGTTAATCAAAACAAAATATCCCAAAGCCTCAATAAATGCAACCCAGTTGAATTTTATAATATTGCCAATACGACTAACTTATAATATTCAAAGTAACTTCTAAATTAACTGTGTTTAATAAAACTGATCAACTAAAGATATAAACATATTTTTGGTGAAATTGTGCCACAACATAAATCAAATAGAAGTATTAAAAAAAAAAAACAAAAACCCAGAGCGCTTGACTGTGTTTTGTAGCTTCTTAGGTGAGCTCTGTTTAAAAAGATTCTCTCTAGCTTGTGAGACAGAAATCAACTTCTACGTTGAAAATACTAGAAATTTAAGTAATATCATGTTGATAAATGCTGTGCTTCAACACGACACGCTAGAAGGAGATGTAACATATAATCCTGATTTTATAAGACTTAGAGAGAAAAGAAAGGTACTCGATAATCTGGGACAGGAAAATGGACATAAAGACTCTCCATTTTATGATTAAAATCTAACAGAAGTTTACACCTATCATACTCTAAGCCATACATTTTCAGAAATATTCCTTACCAAATAATTGAAAACCTATAAAAATGTTTATGTGTTTTAAGTTGTTGTTAAAGTACAGATGGCATTCAAAATAAAAATTATCATTACATTCAAAGATGAGTCTACTTTAAACAAAACTTCAACAAGTTATATAAATGTAAACTTTAAATAAAATGTGGTAGATCACCCTAAGTTATTAGAATCATATTTTAGGGCAATGCATAGTTATATGACATAGTTATTCCCTTCCCAGAAGTTTCTCTTCCATTTCAATCCAAACAAGTACCTAACACATTGCAGCACACTAAAGGAGGCTAAAAGAACGTCACGGGTTTGTTGAGAGGAAAAAACACTTTAAAAATTATAAATTATGTTCTTCCTCTGGGAGTGAAGGATATATCTAACGACTTTTAAAATCTATTACGTAGTCATCTGTCACTAATAAAAATAAATGCTGATGATTATATGTGAAAGAAAACAACAAATGATGATTGTAATCTATTCCATGTTGAAGTGAATTCCAAAGCACCTACATTTGCACATTCTTCACACATGACTGTGCTAGTTAATTCACCAATAAAGATCCGATCTATGAAGTTCATTTTCACACCTTCTCTTCCATACGCTGTAAAAATAATACTTTTTAATGCAAAAAATATGTCAACCATCAACCTAACAATGTAACATGCTTTTTCTCTGTTGATTCAAAGGAAATCTGAGTAAGACAGATGTCCAATACATTTAATACATTTTATCGTATGATGTTATAATGTCTTTCTCCTTTACAATTCTATAGAGAAAATTTGATTATCAACTACAGTAGTCTCCAAGAAATAATGAACAGTTCTTAAACTTGAGGCAAAATAGGTAGACCAATAACCACTGTTCAGATCATACCTCAACTGCTCCCATTAAACCCTTTAAAGCCTCTGTACCTAACGTAGAGGTAGACAGAGGGATGAAAAAGATTATGCTTTTAGGGCTACAGATGCCTGGACCATAACTATGGAAACAACAGAGTAGTAAAAGACAAGTAAACATAGTAGAACGTGAAGAATTAATTTGGGCAATTAGTAACATTACACACACACACACACACACATATGTGTGCGTTCAGTATAAAATGGTAAAATTATTGTGTTTGGGAAATATTTATAAATCAAAGAAAATCATGCCTGTGATTTGCTTCAAAATAATCAGGAGTTAGGAGAACATAGATAAAACATAATACACCATGAATTCAATGTAGTTTAAGAGGGGTGAGGAGTACACGAGGTTCTATCATACTATTCTCTCCATTTCAATAGATGTTTAAAACTTTCCACAGTAAATTATGACAAAAAATATATATTAACAAACCTCACTCCTCTTTCAAACTTCTATCCTTTTTGGATCTCTAACTTGAAATTTTATACAAACAACATTTAGTCATTTCAAAACATTATTTGAAGTATTGAATGTCACAGCCAACTTATAGACATATCAATAAACATCTTTTAATATAATGATAACTATTTAGAAGTTACTAATGTAAACTAAGACATTTCATTAAGAAAATTGTACAAGGGATTGAAAATAGAAAAGATTACACAAAACTGGAAGGAAAGAAAAACTGGGCAGTTATTCTAAACATACACTAGATGGCACTATCTCAAAACAAACAAACAAACAAAAAACCCCAAGCATACTTGAGAATCCACATTTTAAAACATCTTGAACCCTTCACATGAAACTAATGTAACACTGTGTGTCAACTATACTGTAATTAAAAAAAAAAATCTTGAACCTTTCACTGCATATAGTTTGGGCATGTACAATCACAATATGTATGTTTGTTTATGAATTATAGACATGTAGTGTGTATATATAATACCACAAATAAATAGAAGTTAGAAAAGAAAATAAATAAAATGCAAATAATATTTTAAACATTTAAAAATGATGACTTTGTACCAGCATCAGTTAATATCTGAAGACAAAATATACAGTTAGGACAAGGTAAATCACTCATATCATGAGCTGTAAGCCCACACTTAAATACTGATAATTATAAATAATCAGCTTTGATTAGATAATCACTGGTTTTGCCTCAGACTTTGGCTGATGAAGAGTCGACACTAGAAGTAAAGTAGACATGTATGTTTGATTTAGTACTCTCTCCAACCAATCTTTGGAACACCTAAGCATTCTGACTAGTTAAAACTGTATAATATCCATAAATCCACTTATCCAAGCATAGGTCAACTGCAAAATGACACAATATGATGAAACGGAACTCCCAGCGAGGCTGCTGCTTTCCACAACCTTTCAAGTCTCCCTTAGGATACTTCACATTAGGGTTATCAGTGTCAGTCTGTATATTTGATACTAGTTTTAGTTTTTAAAGTTCACATGGACGCATTCTAACATTTTCTTTCTATGACCCAGTAGACTATCTTGGCAGCCACTGGAGTAAGTACACTCTCCTTTTAAGGCCACTACTTTACAGAATTAGTTCACATAATGCTCAGTTCTTTTTCCCCTGAAAAGAAACGTACAATTTTCTTCTAGGAGAAAGTTTTAACAGTGAATGAATCAACATACCTTTGACTTTTTTTCTAGTATCATCATCAGCAGTTTTAGTAGTTGGGTTGTTAAATGCTTTTAGAATGCTAGCTTGTATTCTCTATAAAACAAATAAGAATTTCGTAAGAATCCATATTTGAATGTATTCTTATAGGTTTAGAGTAAGTTCTCCCTCTTTTCCCTCCTCTCCCACACTCTACCACTCTGTCCCTAAAATGATGTGTCATTTTAATCAGGACAAAAAGTAACACAGAGACCATGTGGAATTTCTTATCTATTGAAGAAAAAATTTTACTATATAAGAAGCTATTAAACTGGTCACTATGATCTTCACCTAGATTATATATATTCCTATATGAGTAAAGTCCAGAACATCAAATAATTTCCACAGCAAGAATACCCCAAATCTTGATCGGTTATCCTTTTATTTGAATTCAGTTGTCAATAATGATTACTAGTATTAAAGTCTTTAGCAGCTCTAAGGAAATGACAAGATCTATATGTTTCCATAGCTCTTTATGTTTCAGGAAAGATCCAATATCACAGAAAACTTTCAAAATGAAATAAAATCAGATTCCAAGAATAAAGACATTTGAGCTAATAAATTATCATCTTTTATACTAATTATGTCCCTCCTTAGTGGATGAATTTAATCTTCTCAAATTCACATTTTTACAGTGCAGTGAGAGAAAAGCTTGTTAAAAAAAAAAAAAAACAAACTTCTGGAGGATAATTAAGTAAAGTCTTAATCACAGGTTTTCATAGGTGAGACCGCTGTTTGACCTGGACTTCCTGAAAATGATACCTAATTCTGTTCTTAAAAAAATATTATATTAAAGAAAAATGAAACTCAAACTGCAGACTTGCCAGAGAATCATAAAAGTACTACATACCAGAATACAGACACTTTCCACTGTTCAGAAAATTCACAGCCTTAAATATTTAAATCAATTGAATAGAATAAAAACAAATTAAGCAGCCACATCATAAATTTAGAAAAAGAATATCAAAGCTGAACGAAAGTAAATAACAAAACTCAACAAAAGAGTTAATGAAGACAAAAGTATATAAATTGAAGAGACTAATAAATGAATCAAAAGCTGATTTTTGGGTGGGGGATAAATAAACTTACTAGTCAATCTTAATCAAAGTAAGGATGAAAAGCATTAACATCACACCTAAGAAAAAGGAAACCACTAACAAAATTAAGGATATTTTAAGTAATCATGAGAGACTACTTTGCTCCACTCTCATGTAATTACATTTGAAAATTCAGAAAAAATTAGATAATTTTCCAGGAAATGAGTTCCAGAAGAGAGAGAGTACCTTCCAGCTTTCATGAGGTAGGTGAATGGGCAGAAAGAGAAGAATGGTGTTACACAGTAACTCCGTACAAAAAGTTCCAAGCCCTAACTTTTGACAGAGGAATGCCACTAAACATATGTTCCAGAGCATAAAAAAGGGAAGCCTCCAAATTATTTTCATGAAGCATAATATTGGTATCAAAGCTGACAGAGAACATATACAACACACACCAACATCACGTATGAAAAAAATTCTAAATAAAATACAGAAGCACATTAAAATAATACACTATCATTAAGACTTTTGTTCTAGTAATGCAGGGATATTAGGAAATCTATTCATACAAGCCATCATATTAATAGATATAAGAAGCAAAACATTATTTAAGATTAAATCCCTTGATTTATTACTATTATTTAGGACTGTATTAGTGTTCTAGTCAATGCATTTGATAGAAAAATAAATCTCAGAGTATAAAAATTATAAAGGAGATAAAATTATTTGCAGATGATATGACTTTTTACTTGGAAAAGCCAAAAGAACAAACTGAAATGAAAAACTACTATAAATAATAAAAGAATTTGATATGGGGTATATAAATATAATGAAGTCAATAGTCTTCACACAGACAAACAAAAACCAGTTAGAAGCAATGGAAGAAAATGCCCCATTTATAATAACAACTAAAAAGATAAAATAACGAATAAACTTAAGGGTTGTGTAAGATCTAAATGAGGAAAACTTAAAAACACTACTGAAAGACACAAAAGAAAACTTGATCAAATGGAAAGACACACCATGTTCTTCAATGGGTCCTAAATAAACATTTCAATCTTGCCCCCTAAATTTATGAATTTAACATAATTCCAGTAAAAATAGCAATAGGTTTTTTTTTTTTTTTAATGTGAGAGATTGAAGGGGGAGATTAGTCCTAAACTAGATATGGAGGAATAAATAAGAATAGCAATGAAAAATCGGTGGGGGGGAACAGGAAGTGTAGTGACAAATGACTGGTCCCATTAGATTTATTAAAATGCATTAAAAAATGGGCAAAGGACCTGAAGAGGCGTTTTTCCAAAGAAGCCATACAGATGGTAGACAGACACATAAAAAGATGTTCAATATCAGTAGTCATCAGGGAAATACAAATCAAACCTGCCACGAGATATTACCTCACACCAGTCAGAATGGCTAATATCAAAAAGACAAGAAATAACAAGTGTTGGTAAGGATGTGGAGAAAAAGGAACCCTTGTGCACTGTTGGTGGAAACATAAGTTTAGTGCAGCCACTGTAGAAAACAGTATGGAGATTCCTCAAAAAATTAAAAATAGAAATACCATATGATCCAGTAGTTCTACTAGTGGGTATTTTTTTAAAGATTTATTTATTTACTTACTTATTTGAGAGAGAGATAGCAAGAGAGAGTATGAGCAGAGAGGAGAGAGAGAAGCAGGCTCCCCGCGAGCAGGGAGCCCGATGTGGGGCTCGATCCCAGAACCCTGGGATCATGACCTGAGCCGAAGGCAGATGCTTAACTGACTGAGCTACCCAGGTGCCCCTCACTAGTGGGTATTTACCCAAAGAAAACAAAAACACTAATTTGAAAAGACATATGCACCCCTATGTTTATTGTAGTGTTATTTACAATAGACAAGATATGGAAGCAGCCACGTGTCCATCAATAGATGAATGAATAAAGAAAATGTTCTAATGGAACATACAATGCAATAATTACTTGGCCATAAAAAAGAATGAAATCTTGCCATTTGCAAAAACATGAAGGAACCTGAAGGGTATTATGATAAATGAGATAAGTCAGACAGAAAATGATAAATACCATAAGATCTCACTTATATATGGAATCTGGTACAGCACTCTGGAAAACAGTATGGAGGTTCCTCAAGAAGTTAAAAATAGAGCTACCCTACGACCCAGCAATTGCACTACTGGGTATTCACCCCGAAGATACAGATGTAATGAAAAGAAGGGGCACATGCACCCCAATGTTCATAGCAGCAATGTCCACAATAGCCAAACTGTGGAAGGAGCGAGATGTCCCTCAACAGATGAATGGATAAAGAAGATGCGGTCCATATATACAATGGAATATTACTCAGCCATCAGAAAGGATGAATACCCAACTTCTACATCAACATGGATGGAACTGGAGGGTATTATGCTGAGTGAAATAAGTCAGAGAAAGACAATTATATGGTTTCATTTATATGTGGAATATAAGGAATAGCATGGAGGATCATAGGGACAGGGAGGAAAATCTGAATGGGAAGAAATCAGAGAGGGAGACAAACTATGAGAGACTCCTGACCCTGGAAACAAACTGAGCGTTGTGGAAAGGGAGGTGGGTGGAAGGATGGGGTAACCAGATGATGGGCATTAAGGAGGGCACATGATGTAATGAGCACTGGGTATTGTATGCAACTAATGAATCACTGAACACTACATCAAAAACTAGTGATGTACTATATGTTGGCTAATTGAATTTAAATTAAAAAACTTCAGTGCCTTCATCATATTAATTTAAAAAAAAGATTTCACTTATATGTGGAATCTAAAAAACAAAATGAACAAACAAATAAACAGATTCTTAAATTCAGAAAACAAACTGGTGGTTGCCAGAGGGGAGGGAGTAAGAGGATGGGCAAAATAGATAAAGAGGATTAAGAGGTACAAACTTCCAGTTATAAAATAAATAAGTCATGGAAATGAAAAGTACAGCATAGGGAATATACTCAATAATATTGTAATAATGTTGTATAGTGACAGATGGTGACTATACTTATGGTGAGCACTGAGTAATGTATACAACAATTGTATACAATCAATGTTGTACACCTGAAAGTAAGATGTCAATTATACTTCAAAATATTAAAAATTGAGGAAAAAACAATAAAATGAATAAACAGACTGCAGCATAAAAAAAGAGAGAGGGAAAGAGAGATGCAATTCTGGAATGTGCTCTATAGACTCTTTGCCCTTGGAAAGGATAGAGTGGAGTAAGATGATAAAGACGATGATGTTAGATTTTTTTTTAGTCCTTTTCAAAGGGAAGAAAGTGTATCAAGAAGGAGGTCCCACCAGCCATTAATGAAGAGATTTCATATGTAGAGAAAGTCTGTGACTGATGCATGAAAGGAAGAGAAAATATGCCAAAGTTTCCTTTGCAAGTTACTATTCCAAACAGAGAATAACAGAGCTTAAGGCAAAATAGGTAATATGGAGATCTAGACTTTCATTTTGAAATTAATAAAATGTGGTTGATTATATAAAGAAAAATGCATTTAAACCTTCATAATTTAAAGTATGATCCTAATAATCAAAAAGATAAGCAAACAGAATCAAGGGCAAGTTGAGAAATAAGCCCAAATACATATGAAAAATTAGTATAATTAGGGTGTTACCAATTTAGCGGGAAAAGCATACTATACAGTGTGGATAACCGTAGGATAGTCAAATGGGAAAAAAGGAAATATTCTGGGAACAGGATAAACCTCAATAGATCAAGATTTAAATCTAAAAATGAATTATAAAGTACTAGGAGAAAACATGGGGAAATTCTTTTATAACCTAGGAGTGGGAATGCCTTTTTTAACCATGACTCAATATCCAGAAGGCTTTTAAAATAAAAGACTGTTAAATTCAAAACCAAAAAATTTTTAAACTTTTTTACCTAAAAAAAAATACGCTGCCAAATTATAAGCAAAATCAAGACACAAATGACAAACTTGGAAATATATTCTCTCCTAGTATACAAAAAGCTTTTAGAAATCAGCAA